GCGAGCACCAGTTCCCTACTTTGCTCAACCTGGATACGCCGACGACGACGACGTCGACGACGACGACGACCACCACCACAGCGACCTTACGCTTAAGTCGGGCATGTCCCTCCGCAGGAGGAATCTTCAAAAATAGTTTCAAAAATAGAGTCTGGGGACGATTGGTTTACAATTTTTTCCCAACCATCCTGTGGTGTTGGGTCCTCGTTTTGAAGAGACGGTGGCCCGCGTCTCATCCTCTCCTCTCCTCCTCCTCCTCCTCTCCTCCTCCTCCTCCTCCTCCTCCTCCTCTTCCTCCTCCTCCTCCTCCTCCTCCTCCTCCTCCTCCTCCTCCCACCATCATCATCATCGTCATCACCCATTTCGGCACACCCCTCACACGTTTCGTGGCCCCATAGGGAGCTCCACCGAAGGTCCCAGTGGGTGTGCCCGCATGCGTCCCGCACACCCATTTCGGCACACCCCTCACACGTTTCGTGGCCCCATAGGGAGCTCCACCGAAGGTCCCAGTGGGTGTGCCCGCATGCGTCCCGCACACACATTTCGGCACACCCTCACACGTTTCGTGGCCCCATAGGGAGCTCCACCGAAGGTCCCAGTGGGTGTGCCCGCATGCGTCCCGCACACCCATTTCGGCACACCCTTCACACGTTTCGTGGCCCCATTGTGCCCGCATGCGTCCCGCACACCCATTTCGGCACACCCCTCACACGTTTCGTGGCCCCATAGGGACTCCACCGAAGGTCTCAGTGGGTGTGCCCGTGTGCCCGCATGCGTCCCGCACACCCATTTCGGCCCACCCCTCACACGTTTCGTGGCCCCATAAAGGGGGCTCCACCGAAGGTCCCAGTGGGTGTGCCCGCATGCGTCCCGCACACCCATTTCGGCACATTCCTCATACGCTTCGTGGCCCCATTGGGAGCGCCACCGAAGGTCCCAGTGGGTGTGCCCGCATGCGTCCCGCACACCCATTTCGGCACATCCCTCACACGTTCCGCGGCCCCATAGGAAGCTCCACCGAAGGTCCCAGTGGGTGTGCCCGCATGCGTCCCGCACACCCATTTCGGCACATCCCTCATACGCTTCGTGGCCCCATAGGGAGCTCCAACGAAGGTCCCAGTGGGTGTGCCCGGATGGGTCCGGCACACCCATTTCGGTACACCTTTCACACGTTTCGTGGCCCCATAGGGAGCTCCACCGCAGGTCCCAGTGGGTGTGCCCGCATGCGTCCCGCACACCCATTTCGGCACACCCTTCATACGTTTTGTGGCCCCATAGGGAGCTCCACCGAAGGTCCTTGTGGGTGTGCCCGCATGCGTCCCGCACACCCATTTCGGCCAACCCCTCATACGCTTCGTGGCCCCATAGGGAGCTCCACCGAAGGTCTCAGTGGGTGTGCCCGCATGCGTCCCGCACACCCATTTCGGCCCACCCCTCATACGCTTCGTGGCCCCATAGGGAGCTCCACCGAAGGTCCTTGTGGGTGTGCCCGCATGCGTCCCGCACACCAATTTCGGCACACCCCTCACACGTTTCGTGGCCCCATAGGGGCTCCGCCGAAGGTTCCAGTGGATCAGTCCGCATGCGTCCCCGCCACTCATGTCGGCACATCCCTCACACGCTTCGTGGCCCCACAGGAGCTCCGCCGAAGGTCCCACTGGCAGAGTCCGCATGCGTCCCCGCCGCTCATTTCGGCACACCCCTTACACGTTTCGTGGCCTCATAGGAGCTCTGCCGAAGGTCCCAGTGGCACAGTCCGCATGCGTCTCCGCCATTCATGTCGGCCCACCCCTCACACGTTTCGTGGCCCGATAGGAGCTCCGCCGAAGGTCCCGGTGGCACAGTCCGCATGCTTCCCGCCATTCATTTCAGCGCACCCCTCACACGTTTCGTGGCCCCATAGGAGCTCCGCCGAATGTCCCCGTGGCACAGTCCGCATGCGTTCCCGCCATTCATGTCGGCACACCCCTCACACGTTTCGTGGCCCCACAGGAGCTCCGCCGAAGGTCCCAGTGGCACAGTCCGCATGCGCCCCCGCCACTCATGTCGGCACACCCCTCACACGATTCGTGGCCCCATAGGAACTCCACCGACGGTCCCCGTGGCGCAGTCCGCATGCGTCCCCGCCGTTCATTTCGGCACACGCCTCACACGTTTCGTGGCCCCATAGGAGCTCTGCCGAAGGTCCCAGTGGCACAGTCCGCATGCGTCCCCACCACTCATTTCGGCACACCCCTCACACGCTTCGTGGCCCCATGGGGAACTCCACCGAAGGTCCCCGTGGCGCAGTCCGCATGCGTCTCCCTTGCCCAGTACAGCGTTACGTGGCCCCATAGGGAGCCCCACCGCAGGTCCCAGCCAGCCAGCTAGCTTTCTTTGCTCCGCGCAGCAGGCGACCCGCGCGCGTCGCTGGGACCCCTCCAGGGCGACCTGCGCGCGTCGCGGGGGCTCCGTGCTGCGTTCTGCCCAGCGCCTCGCTCGCCCGTCGTCGCTCTGCCCAGCGGCAAGAGCCTTGCCCGCTATCAGCCAGCCAGCTAGCTTTCTTTGCTCCGCGCAGTGGACGACCCGCGCGCGTCGCTGGGACCCCTCTGCGGCGACCTGCGCGCGTCGCGGGGACTCCGCGCTGCGCTGCGCCCGCAGCCTTGGACTTCTGAGTGCGCGGGCAGAGAGGGAGTAAAGGAAGGGGAGGAAGCGGGCGCGATCCTCGCGGGGGGGCGCGCCGACATTGGCGTCGCGGCGCGCGGGCGATGCCGTCGGGGAGTCCCGGGGAAGCTCCTTGCGGCGGCCACGCCCAGCGTCACGAGTACTCAGAGGCAGTCATTGTCAAACTATTGACATTCATATACAAGTGCACCGCGCTTTGTCATATTCGCATTCATGCACGTAGACTCGCTCGCACGCAGATTCGTTCACAGTCAGACGCACGCGCGCAGATTCACCCGCGCTCAGTCTCCCTACGTACTCAGATCAATCGTTTTCGTTCGCTTTGTGTACCACTCCACTCATGTCGGCACACCCCTAGCACGGTTCGTTGCTTCATAGGGATCGCCACCGAAAAAGTGAATCACTATTGCAGTACTCGCACCTGCGTATGGTTGGTTCCCTCGTCAGGCTAATTTTTTTGTTTGGGGCATGTTTTGACTGATTTCATTTTTTCTCCAAAATCCGCCTGTGGGAGGACATGCCCGACCTAACCCCACGTGGCACCGGCGGTTGCTGCCGCCACCAGCCCTGGCTCGCACTCGTCTGGCCCCGCCGGCTGGGTCGCAGGAGCGTCATGCCACCAGTGACCTCGACCATGCCTCTTCCTGGCCCAGTGCACGATCGATGGCTCGTCCTTCCCCGTGCACTCATTGGACTCAGAATACACCAGACGCCCAAACATTCTACGTTTCACACCACTTTCATCCAGATCGACCGCCAGTCCCAGGCCGACTACTGAGGGCTCTGGCCCCCCCGCGCCGCCCTCGTAGGGCCGGTCCCGCTGGACCGTCATCGCGCGCTCCTCCATCCCCCTGCATGTGGTTGGTCGCAGCTCGCGCCCACCTGCGTCCCAGATTACGCCTTGGTCGGTGCGTCTCCGGCGCCCGCTGCTTGCAAAGTGGCGCCAGCGCCGGGCAAGACGCCAGCACGAGGAGGTTCCCAACAGCAAGAGCCTCCCACCTGTTCTTGGCCAGGGCTTGGGCCCAGGGTCTTCCTTGTTCTTCGATATTGTGGCCTACACACCCCAGGAAAAGTAATACCCATTTTGCAGGGCGTGTCGAAGAATCGTCCAGTGGGCTTCCCTGTGGGTAGTCTTGCATCAGGGCCGTTTCTAACGGTCTCGGGGTCCGAAAACGGCCAGTGGAGGCCAACAAGTACGGAAAACCAAAGACGACGAACCAAAACTACTTTTCCAGGGCAGCTTACATGCGCGAAGGGGGGTGGTATTGCAAGGGCCTTGTGGTCGGTCTCGCGGACCCCGAAGCGATGCCGGCGAGGACGGAGGAGGCGACCCGCAGTGGCCAATGGGAAGATGCCGAATAATCTCAAATGTAAACGCCCCTCTCGGCAACGCGCAGAGGGGGGAAGGGGGAGGGGGGAAGGCTTCTTAGAAGCACCTCTGCTTCTTAGAAGGCGCGGGCCTTCTCTATAGACGTAAGGCCGAGGCCTTCTAAGAAGCAGGGTGCTTCTAAGAAGCCTTCCCCCCTCCCCCTACCCCCTTATGCGCGCCGCCAACCCTCCTAGGCGCGAAATTATCCATCACCTACGTTGCATCTTCGGGGCACCTCGTCTGTCCTATAAACTGTGCTTGTCTTATGCTTGACGCAAGGTCGGCGCGGATCCGGCGCGGAATCGGCCTGGATTCGACGCGGATCCGATGCACTCGACACGGGTTCGACGCGGATTCCACGTGGAGGGTTTCGCGACGGGCCGAACAAGGTCCTCGGAAGATGTGATCTACCATCGGCATCGCCTGGGGGATCGATATTCAGGGACCTCGGCAGGTGGTGAATGTGGATGCGTTCGGGCCCCCGGGGGGGGGGGCAAGCATCCAGTGGAGACCCATGACAAGAAACACCCTGCTCAGGGCTCATTTCGATTCCTCCGATTCGATTCGATTCGATTTAGATTATTTCCGATTCCTATTCTATTCAATTTCGGATTCTGATTTTGGCTCCGATTTATGAGTCAAGGCCTACTAGGGTGGCGATTTCCGCCGGTTCGACTTTTCCCGACTCGGGTGCCGATTTCCGCCGATCCGACTCATTTCGATCGCCGATCCGCTTTGTCGATTCGATTCTGGGCTCTCCTGCTGAGTGCCTCCAGGGTTCCCGTGGTTCTCTTGGGTTTCCATGGTCTCCTACGGAACGCGCGACGCGCCCCCACCAAAAATCAATTGACGTCCTGGGGTCTCAGGGCTTGGGTGTCTTGTGTCAGGAGCGACAAAAGGACGTACACGTACATGAATCCACGCTGGTTTCGAGAGTACGCATAGCGCAAATGTTCGTATAACGCGGCAGGTCCCGCGGATCGAGGGGCCGTGTTCATGTACATAGCTGGGCGCGTACGTCCTTTGTGGGCTCCCTATTGTGGAAGGTTTCCTGTGGGCTGGTCTCCGCTGCAGCTGTGCACTCCGCCTGCCGAGGTCCGCGAAGACCGGTCCTCGGGCGGTGGTGATGCGTCCATCCGTGCTTGGCGCTCACGCGCCGACAGGGCCGGCGGGTTTAGCGTTACGTCGGGTCGGGAGCCTCGAGACGGGGGTCAATGCACACGGGGGTCAGCCGGAGCGCCCGATCTTGCAGGATCCTGCAGGGCCAGGGTCGCATTGACCCGGGTTTGGGTGCAGGATCTTGCAGGATCCTGCAGGATCCTTCGCATTGACCCGGGTTTGGGTGCAGGATCTTGCAGGAGTTTGCAGGATTTTGCACGCCTGACTGACCCGGGTCTGGATTGACCCGGGTCAGGAAATCCCCGATCGGGCATGTCCCTGGAAAACAACAAGTAATCAAACAATAGTTTGGGAACGACTTCTTGATTTTTGTCCCCAATCAGTGCTTGCACTGAAGGGGTCCTAGCGGAAGTTGAAAGATTTGGCGAAAGTTTCCCGCCGATTTTGGTAGCAGGCTGGGTTCCCGGTTTCCTGGTTCCGGGTTCCCGGGTTCCCAGTGATTGGTTCCTGGCCGATTTCGGTGGGTTCCGGGTTCCCGGGCTCCCGGGTTCCAGGTCGATCTCCTGAGCGAAGACCATCCACTGATTAGGGTTTTCTCTTGTGTAATTGAATATTTTGTTCGACTACGTGTTATTGTTCCTCCAAAATCCGCCTGTAGGAGGACATGCCCGACCAAAATTTAGCGTGCGTTTAGCGTGGTTTCGCACGTGCAGCCGCGCCAGCGACGGGCCAGCGGGCTGATGCCTGGGCGCCGGGAGGGGATTTGCAATGCCCGCCGCGCACGGGCGGTGGTGATGGCAACGACGAGGGGAAGTGAGTGGAGGAGGATGAGGAGGGGGAGGAGGTTGAGGATGAGCAGGAGGAGGAGGACCACTCAAAACCCCTGACGCTTCATCGATGCTGCAACCCACCCTCCAATTTTTCTCTCTTCATCGGTCCTTGCAGCAATTTGTTTCCTTGCGGGACGTGCCCCATGGGAAGACACCGTTTGATAATCCTGCATCGCGCAAGAATGTGTTTCTTGGAACTCCAGCGCCACGAATCATTCTTGCTTCTGCATCTCGGCAATCCTAAGCTGTGCCAGGACACATTCTTGGGGTTCCAACACCGCGAATCAACGTCATGTGCGTCCTGACAAGTCTGGATCGTGCCTGGCCACCATTAGTGGGACTTCCGCATACGAGTATTTGAAATTGCGAGCTTTTACGACGAATGTGCGCGGCGCTAAGACGAGAGCCAAATCTTGTAGAGGAACCGCCCTCCATCCTTCAAGCTGTTGCAATGTTTTGTAACGATTGTGCTTGACGCTAAGGCGAGAGCCACATTTTGAAAGCCACCCGCCCTCCATCCTGGAAGCTGATGCAAACTGTTTGACGAGTGGGAGCGGCGTTAAGGCGAGAGCCAAATTTCGAACATGGGCGCCCTCCATCTGTAAAACAGTTGGCAAATTGTCAGGATCAACAATGGTGAGGACGTCTCAGGCGAAACGCTGGGCCTGCCCTACTGACACGTCTCTTGGCGCGACAGGGAGGAATTATCTATGAGCGAATGGGATTGTGGGAGGGGAATACCAAGAGGAGGAGGAGGAGGAGGAGGAGGAGGAGGAGGAGGAGGAGGAGGAGGAGGAGGAGGAGGAGGAGGAGGAGACTGGGATGGGAGAGAAAATGAGGGGCAGGGTGGAGGAGCGGGAGAAATAGGGAGTGGGGGTTGTAGGAGGGGTGCGGGAGGATGATGATGATGAGGAGGAGGAGGGGGAGGAGGAGGGGGATGGGGGATGAAAAGGGGGGGAGGAGGAGCGTGAGGAGAATAGAGAGTGGGAGAGTCATGGGAAGGGGACGATGTGAGATTTCAGTTTCCCTGTTCCTTGTTTGTCTCTGGTTGTTCCGAACTATTTTTGGAGGCCCGACGGCGGTGACATTGACGATGAACGATCGGAACTCAGGGACCGCCCTATATGGGCGTACCACGACACGCCGCACAGCAAAGCACATAGTGGCACACGATAGTATGGCGTAGCATTTTATGACACCCAGCGTTTACGCAGCAGAAGTGCCGGGGCAGGATCAGAGTTAAGTGCTTTATTGGTTTCGTGGGCCCCTCCATTCGAGCGGCCATCCTCACGAGCCCACGGAGCGCCCACGCCCCAATACCTTCTTGCGCCTCTTCTCGTGCTCCACGGTCCTCCTGTAAACCTTTACCCCCTCACCCTTGCCACCGTCTCTGCCCCCGTTCTTGTAACCTCTTCCTCCTCTGCGCGTTCCCACGTCCACCACCACCTCCAATTCGTGAAGCCTGGACATGGTGGAGGTGGACGTGTTGGACGCAGTCATGAAGCTGGAGAATGTTACCCTGGATGCGGACGAAAACGACCACGTGGTGGATGTTGGGTTGGAGGTAGATCTTTTCACGCAGGCTCTGTGGCTGCGGGGAAGCATCCTCCAACTCCACGTCCACCACGTCATCGTCCACGTCCAACCCTAGGTTAACATCTGCCACCTTCTTGTCCACGTCCACCGCGTCCCCCACGTTCACCGCGTCCGCCTACGCCACCTCATCGCTTCGCGTCCGCGTCCGCGTCCGCGTCCACGTCCCTGTCCGCTTCCGCTTCCACCTCTGCCCCGCCTCAACCTCCACCTCCACCTTGGGGCTCGACTTCCCGTCCGTTTTCCCACCTGCACCTTTTCCGTCTCCTCTTGCAGAGGTCCGAGGCTCCGACAAAAAGCTTGAGCGGCCGTTTGCTGCCCTTCTCAGGCCGGGGGGCCTTCGACGGGCCCATCGGGCTGTCAAAAAAGACGCAGGATGAATGTATCGGCCCCAGGGAAGTTGTCCAGACCTCCGTGGGTCCGCGCATGGAAAGCACGGGAGCGCCCGAAGTCTGGGTCGCTTGGTCCCGTGCGTCGTCTTCCCTTTGCGCCTCCCTTGGCACTCCGTGCTCCTCCGTTCCGTTCGTCCGGCACGGCGGCAGCGATCCGAGCGCGACTCCCCCGAGGCTATCCCGAACGTGGAAGACCTGCCGGAGGAGCCTGCTCACCTTGGAGTCCAGAAGGGTGGGGGAGTCAGGGAAGGAAGCAGGTACAGGGTCAGTGGCTCTATACACGGGTAGCGCAGTAGTTTTGGCGATGATGGTACTCTCTTTCTCGCAGGTTTCTGCCATGCCCAATTTCTCGAGTTGATGCATTGCTCTTTCTGGCAGCACTCTTCCATTTGCCGCTCAACTTCTCTGCCAGAGCCCCGCCGCCAAATTTCCCAAACAGTGCTTGCACTTTCTGGGACGTCCCAAGACGTCCGCAACTTGCGCTCTGAAGTACATGGATGGGCGTGTTGGGTGTTTGTTCCTGGTGTTGGGTTTTTGTTCCTGATGTCCTGTCGATGGCTGGTCTCGGGCGCCTCGTGGGCGCCACGTTGCGCTGGGTGGGCGTGTCCCACCACCCACCGAACCACCCCAACCCAACCTGAAGGCCCTAACTTGCCTCATATTCCCAGTGGGGGGGCGGCGCTGGGGAACATCGAACAATAGAAAACCCGCTCGCCCCCAACGCGAAATCTGGGTCTTCGGGTTGGGCTGAGTTGGTCTGATAAATCAGAGCGTGAATTACCTACCTCGCTTTCGCTCGAAGGAAAAACCAAGTCATACCGCGCGCCTCCTCGTCAAGCGGCCTGACCAGTACAGGCCGTAGTTTGGCATCGCTTGGTGCCTCTTGGAAGCGAGGGTGGTCAGAAGCGAGGTAGGCTTGTTTTCCCCCTTGTGGCAGGCAGCCAGTGCCCGTGGTCTCGCTCGGTGCCCGCCTGTGGCCAGCCACGGGGGCGCCCCCGTGGGTCGGGGCTCCTTTCGCCCAGTGTTCGCGCGCGTGCGCTCCGTGGCCGCCCCCTGTGCGCTGGGCATCGGATGTGCCACGTGCACAGAGCACCAACGCTTGCACCAAGTCGGGGGCACCACATAGCCTTCACCGCCTCTCGGCATCGCTCGGACGTGTGCGTCTGTTCTTCGGCGAGGGCCATCGAGGAGCATCCTCGATCATTTGGCGAAAAGCCACGCACGAAAACCGAAAAAAGCACAGGGAATGGACGTCCGAGCGATGGCGAGGACTACACTGCACCAAGAATATTGCAGTAGACTGCACCGCATAGCTTGGACCACATGGGGCGCAGAACCTATGTGGTGTCACGCGAAATGCTCCACACGGTCTGTTCGACACACGATGCGCATCCAGAGTACAACAGTGCATTGTTGTGAGGATTGCGTGGACACCCGGACCACGGCACCCGGATGCCCACCACGGTTGCCGCTTGAACCTCTCGCGTTGTTCTCACATGTTCGGCGTCACCCCAGCATACTAATACTATATGTGGGTCGCCACCTCAGGGGCGACGGGCGCACCGAGAACTCTTATAGTATTTGCTTCGTGGCGGGCGCTTTCTGGCCACACCGCTCGGGAAACGATATACTATTTGACTGTGATACTGAGTATCCTATGTGTTCGGGTCGGACGCGCACCTCCAAGGAGGACACCGTACCAGTAGGTCTGCGTCCGTCCCACCTGCTGGAGAGCCGGGCAGAGCACGACAGACTGCGCGACCGCGGCCCGAGAGGTCTTTGCTTCCGTCCGAGCCCCCGCTCCCGCTGGCCCACGGCCCACACTGCCCCCGCGTCTTGCTGCAGCTCCTCCTCTCGCCCCCGCTCCCCCTCCAGCGCTGGAGGGAGGAGTGGCGACACCACCGCAACCATCACCGGGGGGCCAACCTCCAGCGAGGGGGGTCCACGGTGGCCTCCCCGAGCTCGGGACGGGGGACACCTCGAGCGCGAGGGGGGGACCACACCGCCAGGAGGACCCTCCCTGGAGCCTGGCGCCGGTGATGGTGGGGTCGGTCGCTTTTCTCGATTCCTACCCTCCTGCTCCCTCTAGGCCGATAATTGCCGCCTTCTTCCAGTCCATCTCTCTGGTGGCTACCCTCTGCCGGGCAGTCTTCTTCCAGCTCATGCGCAGGTTCTTCCTTGCCTTCCTTGTGCGCTGGTTCCTGAAGTACGTCGTCCAAGACTTTGATTTGTCCACGAAATGCGGCCGCGGCCTCATGCGCCCTGCCCGACAGGGCACGGGCACAGCTGCGTGCCCGACTCCCGCGCCTTCGCTTCACTTCGCTTCGTTTCTTGCCCCCGCTGTCATTCCCGCTCCCGGTCCCGCTCCTGCTCCGTCGCTATCCCAGCCCGCCCCGCCCCCACTCCCGCACCTCCCCTGCGCCCCAGGCCGGCCACTGACGGGGGCGCGCCCGTGCTGCTTGACGCCCCCACCCCCTTGGGGAGATCAATCGGCTTCGACCGCCCCCCCCCTCGCCCCGAGAGGTCGTCGACACGAGGGGCTTCCCTGGGGGGGGCGAGCGCAGCTCCTCCCCCCAGCCGTGACTGGTCGGCGTCGCGTCCGCTCCCGCCCCTCGCCCCGCGACCGCCCAGGACGTCCCCTCGATCGGCTCGGTGCACCACGGTCCGCCCCTGAGACTGCCCCCGTCGCCGAGTGTCCCCCGCGTTGGGCGCTGGCAGCGCGGGTTTCAGCGGACGGGCGGGCGGGGAGGAGGGAGGATGGCGGAGACGGGAAGGGGGGAGGAGGGGGAGGAGGCGACCCGAGGAGGAGGAGGAGGAGGCGGAGGAGGAGGAGGAGGAGGAGGAGGCGGAGGAGGAGGAGGAGGAGGAGGAGGAGGAGGAGGGGAGGAGGAGGAGGAGGAGGAGGGAGGAGGAGGAGGAGGAGGAGGAGGAGGAGGAGGAGGGAAAGGAGGAGGATGAAGGAGAAGGAGGGAGGAGGGAGGATGGAGGAGGGGAGGAGGAGAGGAAGAGGAGGAGGGGAGGAGGAGGGAGAGGAGGAGGAGGAGGAGGAGGGGAGGTTGAGGAGGAGGAGGGACGAGGAGGAGGAGGAGGATGAAGAGGAGGGAGGAGGAATAGGAAGAGGTGGAGCAGGAGCAGGAGGAGGGAGGAGGAGGAGCATGAGGAGAAGGAGGATGAGAGGGAGGATACTACTACTACTACTACTACTACTACTACTACTACTACTACTACTACTACTACTACTACTACTACTACTACTACTATACTACTATTACTACTACTACTACTACTACTACTACTACTACTACTACTACTACTACTACTACTACTACTACTACTACTACTACTACTACTACTACTACTACTACTACTACTACTACTACTACTGCTACTACTACTACTACTACTACTACTACTACTACTAATAGTAATAATAATAATAATAGTAATAATAATAGTAATAATAATGCTATAATAATAATGAGAATCAAAATAATAATAATCAAAAGAATAATAATAATGAGAAGAATAAGAGGAGTAGGAGGAGGAATAATGAAAGGAGGAGGGCGGGGAGAGGAAGGGAGGTAGCAAGGAACGAAGGAGGAGTGAGGAGGTGCCGACAGGGGGCGAATCATGAGGCCGAAGGAACATGAAGAGGGAGCAGGAGGATGGGGGTATCTGGCTGGTATGCGACATTCGACTCACGGGGGCATTTACTGACGCCGCCCGAGTGGCGGGGGCCGCTGCTGCCTCCAGCTGCTCCTCCTGCTCCCGTTCCACACCTCGCCCCTTCTCCTCCTCCTGCTCATGGCCCCCTCCCTCCTGCTTCTGGTCTTGCTCCCCTCCCTGCTCCTGCGCCCTCCCCCCACCCCATGCTCCTGCCCCTGCTCTTGCCCCCTCCTTCCCCGTCCTCCCCTCCCTCCTGCTCCTGCTCCTTCCTTCCCTGCTCCTGCTCCTTCCTTCCCTCCTCCTGCTCCCTCCTTTCTCCCTTCCCCTTCCCCTTCACCTCCCTGCCTCCGCTGTTTTTGCCGCGCCGCCAGGCGGCGGAAACTGCCGGCCGTGCGCGTGGTTTCACAAGCCGGGCGGGTGCACGAATGCCAAGGAGCCGCTTGCCCCGTCGCCGCTCTGGGCCAACCGCCGTCGAAGGGGGATTGGGCAGACAGTAGTAGTAGTAGTAGTAGTAGTAGTAGTAGTAGTAGTAGTAGTAGTAGTAGTAGTAGTAGTAGTAGTAGTAGTAGTAGTAGTAGTAGTAGTAGTAGTAGTAGTAGTAGTAGTAGTAGTAGTAGTAGTAGTAGTAGTAGTAGTAGTAGTAGTAGTAGTAGTAGTAGTAGTAGTAGTAGTAGTAGTAGTAGTAGTAGTAGTAGTAGTAGTAGTAGTAGTAGTAGTACGCTCGGGCAAAGTCATTGCACCAGTGCGGCGCTTCATTCTGGCGCATGTATCCGAACTGTCAGCTGGTATTGCACCGCACTCGAACTGCGCCCCCTCAGCCCTCCCCCCACCGCCCCTCCTGTATCCCTCCTCCCACCTGCTTCCAATCTCTCTGCCCTTCCCCCCCTGCCCAAGCGGCAACAACTCAATTGTGGCGGCATGCGGGCTGGACCCCCAGAACACCTGGACCTCGCATTGCCCGGCGCGCAGTCCCCGACAGGAATGCGGCGACGTCAAGGTTCGCCCATTTGAAGGCATAACGCATTCCCAGGTCCCGCTGGACGCGGATTTCCCCATTTCAGAAAAAGCCGCCCTTCGACCCCTTCAACCACCCCCTCCCCCCGAACCCAAAGCCTCGCCCCCCCCTTGCCGTGCGCGAGCCCCCCGACCCCGCACTCGCAAAGCGCGCGCAACCATCGCACGGTAAATGACTGACCCTGCAAACGAAGATCGGGGAATGACGGCCGCCACCCCCCGAAACCAACATGGGGGAAAGCAGGGGGAGGAGGAGGAGTTGGAGGAGGAGTAACATCAAAACACACGGTCCAAACATAGCGCATCACAGAGACGCACACCACAGCTCCACCAGATAGAGGGCCCAAGCAGTCAGAGCGCACTCAGAGCGCACTTGTCTAAGGCAGCGCCAATGTGTGTGTGTGTGTGTGTGTGTGTGCACGTGTGCGTGCACGTGTGCGTGCGCGCGCGCGTGTATGTGTGTGTGTGTGTGTGTGTGTCGAAGACGGACCATGCTGGCGGCACCCTCCGCGGTGCTTCCGCTTGTGGCCCCGGGCACAACCAACGCCACCTACACTGCCCCCGGGGGCGCGGAGGAGGAGGCGGCGGAGGCGGAGGCGGCGGAGGCGGCGAATGCGAAGTGGGGGCGCGAGAGATGGGGAAAAGTGGAAGGCAAGGGATGGGGAGAAGGGATGAGGATGGGGATGGGGAGCAGGCAGGGATGGGGAGAAGGGGTGGGGAGATGGGGAGGGAAAGAGATGGGAGAGAGATGCGGAGGGGATGGGGAGAGGGGATGGGGAGGGTACGGGGAGGGGGAGGGTACGGAAGTCGGGATCGGGCGTGCGCGGCGCACCCCTTCCCCTCTCTGGCCAGAGTAGGCAGTCCGTCCTGGTGCCTGCACGGCCCTGGAAAGGAGATGCAAATCTAGTAGTCGATGTGTTTTTTGTTAGTCGCCTTCACTTGTTCGTGTCCGTGAAAGTCTGGGGGCCGTTTCCAGCCCCTGGACCCGAGACGAAAAAAAAACACCCCCGGGGTCCCTGGTACGATTTTTCGACACAATTTTCAGATGTGTTTTTCTAGGTGGGTGTAGTTTGGGACTGGCAAACATATAATTACACCAGAGGAAATGCCCAATCAGTGGATGATCCGAAAGTTATGCAAGCATCATGCCCGGCCGCACTTTCGCAAGAGGGTCCTAAGAGGCGAACTCATTGAGAGCCCTTGAGTGTTGGAAGGGCTGTGGCATCCTCGCCATTTGGGGCATCCGTCGGCTCAAAATGCCCTAGGAGGTCTTCAATATTGCCCCAAGACAGCGCACGATGGGCCCAAGATGGCACAAGCGGGCCTCCAGAGGTACCCCTGACGGCCCGAGAAGGCCCCTCGACGACTCGAGAGGGCCACAGCACGTCCCCCCACAACGGCCCGGAAAAAAAACCTCAGCATCAGCAAGAGAGAGAGAGAGAGAGAAAACAACTCAGGAGGGGAAAAAACACACAGACACAATTAATCGGCGATTCTCAGAAAATATGGGAAAATATGGGAAGTGGGGGGGAAGACAAAAACCCAGAAAATATGTGAAAATATGGGGAATCATTTTATTTGTGTGTATTTATTTGTGTGTCCCAGTTCCCCTTCAACAACAGAGAGAGAGGGGGCGCCCACCGACAGCCGCCCACCGAGAGCCGCCCACCGAACTCGGCGGGCTGCTTTCGCCAATCTCTTGAGGGGCCGCCCACCGAAAAAGCCGCCCACCGAGAGCCGTCCACCGGAATCGGCCCGCTGCGTTCGCCAAGCTCTTCTCTATTACACCGGAGAACGCCCCAATTACACCAGAGGAGACCCAGTCACAGAGAACGATCACATAGTGTATGGCGTCGCGGGGGGAAGACGAAAGAGTGGGACAGGTATTGAGTAATACCCAGAGGGGGTGAGAGAGAGGGGAGTGAGAGAGACATGTTGCATGACACGGATAACACACATCAGACATAACGAGTATATGATGTATTGCGCATCGAAGAGTGAGACAGATATCACGCTATACTGAGAGAGAGAGGGAGAGAGAGAGAGAGGGAGAGAGAGAGAGGGGAATGCTAGAGAGATAGAGAGAGAGATATTGCATAACACTGATAAAAAAACCTCAGCATCAAAACAAACAGAGAGAGAGAGAGAGGGGGCGCCCACCGAAAGCCGCCCACCGAGAGCCGCCCACAGAAATCGGCAGAGTAAACACTGAATGGGGAATTTCAGGTTTCATTGACAGTTTTTGTCTCTGAAGCAGGTTCTGTTGTTTGGTCGTTCGGAATATTCTTCTCCTGGTGTGTGTGTGTGTTGGCCAGCGAGATCTACACACATCCTCTGCCCCAGGCCTGGCCCATCCTGGGGCCAGGACCGGAATATATGCCTGCCTGGCCAAACCAGGATGCCGTACACACCGCTCCGGGGCGCAGAGCGAGCCAGGCCTGGGGCAGAGGATGTGTATAACTCTCGCCGCCCTATGTGTGTCCTTACGCTCGCCTGACCAGTTCTACGCCACGCCGCTAAAAAGTGTGTGCGTGTGTATATATTTATATATATATATATATATGTATATGTGTAGGTGTGTGTAGGTGTGTGCGTTTGTGTGCGTGTGTGTGTGTGTGTTGTATGTGTTTGTGTGTGTGTGCATGTGTGTGTGCGTGCTCCGGCGGGTGACGAGGAGGAGCAGCGGCAGCAGTTTCGGCAGCAGGGGGGGGGGGGCAATGAGGGAATGAGGGGGAAAACAGGGGACGGCAACGGCGAGGAAGGAATCGGATCCAGATGTGTGTCCCGCGCTGGGGTGGGAGCGCCATTCCGAACGACATAATCACGGCGACACGCCCAAACATGAGGACAGAGTTGCAGCGATAACGGAGTTTTGAGAGACAAGGGGCGTCCCGACTGGGCACAACACAGCGCACATCAAGCATCGCATGATCAAATCCCGTGTGTATGTGTTCGAAGGCGATTATTCTCCCCCAATATCCCCGAGTTCCGCCCGAAACGTTTGGCCGATCAGAAAGGGAGGGAAACCTTGGGATCCACCCCAAGGGGAGACTATTCCGACGCACCCCTATATCGAGGAGGGACGCCCCTCCATCGTACATCCCAGGTTTGGGCCCCAAACTTTTGGGTCCATTCGAAGACCCCACGAAGCCTGGGATACGGGTCGACATTTATGATGTTCCGACTTAATCTAGCCTTGATCATTACAAAAAATCGAGCACCAAGAAAGTACCGAACTTGGAGGGTTTGTGTCGGGCCCTGGGAGGCGATATTCGTTCGACTGTCCGCTGGCGTGTCTGGCAGATACTGGTTCGACCCTTGCTTACGTGCTCGAAATTAATTCTGGGATGTGGTCCTCAAGTACGGTGGAACCAGCACAAGTCGACATCTCCCTTGGACGTGGGGGTCATTCCCATTTCGGTGACAAATCATGGGCTCCTGGTATACCTTCTTAATTGCGTCTTTAGCGTCGAATAGCGTCTGGGAATCGATGGGATAGTGCCGATTTCACGTCGGTTCGCGTCGATTCACGTCGATTTAGCGGCGATTTAGCGTCGACTAGCGAGGATTCGCAAGAGCCGACAAGATGGTATGGTAGGCTTCCATGGGTTGCGACCGGAAATGCCCATGCTCATCATGAGCTGCTGTTGAGAAGATCGTGTGGTGGAGGTGGCGAAGGGGAAAGGTGCGGGGAGCGGAGGTGGATGCGGAACGGGACAAGGGGTTGGAAGGAGCAGGTTGTGGTGTGGAGGGGGGGGGGTGATGGGAGGAACGGGTCAGGGGACGAGTGGGTGGAGGAGGAGGAGGAGGGGAAGGAGGAGGAGGGGGCGGAAACGCTATGGGCGCGCCGCAAAGCACGTTGAACAGAGGGAATGTGAGAGAATTGAAATGATTGAAGGGCGTATTTTTCGGCTTTGGCGCAACACCGGGCTGGTCATCAGGAGTGCCGCCACTGCCACTTGTGCCCAGAGGGGGAGATCAGGATGCGCAAGAAGACCAAGGCGCGCCGGTTGGATGAGGAGGAGAGGGATTGGAAGGAGGGTGAGGAGGGGGAGGACGAAGAGTGCAATGATAATGATGGTGATGCTGGTGACGATGATGATGACGATAGTGACGATGGTGATGATGACTATGACGTCGACAACGGTGACCATCATGCTTACCATGGTGATGGTGATGGCAACGGTGCTGCCAACGATTAGGCTGATTATGCTGACGACGATTATGTTGATGATGTTGACGACGATGACGATGTCGATGACAATGATGATGATGGTGATGATGATGGTGATGGTGATGGTGATGGTGATGGTGATGGTAATGTTGTTAGTGATGATGCTGCTGATGATGATGCTGAAGGGCGGTGGTGGTGTTGATGAGGGAAGGTGTTGGTGATTAGGGTTGTGATAGGATGATGACAAGTGTGGCAGTATGCTTATCCTGATGCTGGTGTTGATGCTTATGACCGTGCTGCTGCTAATGATGACGATGATGATGCTGATGATGATGATGGTGATGCAACTGATGATGATGCTGATGATGCTGATGATGCTGATGCTGATGATGGATATCATTAGGCTGAATATGATGATGATGCTGTTGTTGATGATGCTGATGATGATGAGGATGCGGATGATGCTGATGATGATGTTGATGATAATGCTGATGCTGATGCTGATGCTGCTTCTAATGACGATGATGCTGATGATGATGATGAAGATGATGATGAAGATGATGATGACGATGATGATGATGATGCTGCTGCTGATGATGATGATGATGATGATGATGATGATGATGATGATGATGATGATGATGATGATGATGATGATGATGATGATGCTGATAATGAAGAGGATTGATAGACGAGGAAGAGGGTGACGTGGAGGATGACATCCGCGGACACGGGGGATATAGGCAATCTCGTGGCTGAGGCGGAGGTCGGTTGCTACGACGAGGAGGCGGCGGAGGCGGATTACGGAGTAGGAGGAGGAGGACTGACAGGAGGCACTCCCCGTCCCCTCTGCCTGCCCCCGTTCGTTCCTCCGAGAGTGCTCTCGGACAGACGCGGGATCCGTGCCAGGGGGCGTGCAGAAGCAAGGGGGGGTCGGTAGTAAATCATGAGAGCTCGGTATACCCTCTTCATGCCGTCTTTGCGTCGATTGGCGTCGGTGAGCGTCTGGGAGTGGATGAGACAGCGCCGGTTCAGCGTCGGCTGTCGATTCGCGTCGACTAGGCAGCGTCGATCAGCGTCGATGTAGCGTCGACGATCGAGGACTCGCAGTTGCCGACAAGATAGTATGGGAGGCTGCCGCGAGTTGGCCCTCCCCCCTCCCCTAGGAAGAGCGGTGCTCTCCGCCCGTCTCCCGGTCCCGTCCGAAGCTGGGAACCCCCGCCTCGGGTCGGCGACGGCTCTCCTCGGGAGGGGCGCCTCCCTGCGAAAGGGGGCTTCCTGGCGCCAACATGGCTGATGCGTTTTGGGTGTGCACTGGTCCTCCTCCGCCCTCCTCCGCCCTCCCTGCTCCTCATCCTCCTCCCTGCTCCTCATCCGCCTCATCCTCCCCCTCCGGCCCCCTCCACATCCGCCTCCCCCCCCCTTCCCCTCCCTCTTCCGCTCCCCCCCTCCCGAACCCTCCTCTTCTCCCGCTCCCTCCCCTTCTCCCCAGCAGCAGCAGCAGCAGCAGCAGCATGGCGCCAGCATAGCAGAGCGGATGTTGTTTGGAAAGCAACGAGATGGGCCCAGCTTGTCCTGGAGAGTGTCGCTCTGGATTGCGAAGTGAATTTCGAGTGGATCTTCTGTGCCGGGAAGGAGAGTACAAGATGCCCACGCGAATTTCGTTTAGTCTTTCGATCGCCGTTTCGGGGGTCTGCATTGACAGATATCGCATCACGTCTGGAATGTCGGTGCAGTGAGCAGCAGGGTCCGCTCCGTGAATGCTTTCACGAACGTGCGGACGATTGCTCTGTGTTTGAGCGCGCCCACCCCGCAAGCAGACCAGATTCGCGATGGTGCTCGTTTCCCGGCTGGTTTTCCATGCTCAGCTCGGCTTGTAAGCTATGCCCAGTCTGCCTCCCCCCCTCCTCTCAGAAGAGGACAAGGTACCCATACCGCTACACTTCGCCCGTTTTCCCCTTTTTGGGCCTCCTCCCTCGTCGCCACCGCTGGATTCGCGTCGAAATCCTGGTCAGAATGCACCCCGGGAGAGGTCCGGGGAGTAGCGGTATTCGTACCTGTTGGTTTCCCCATCCGCCCTCTCGACGACGCGGAGCTGGAGACATGGTGCTCCTTGCCGCGCCGCATCGTCCCTGCCCTCTGGCATTCGAGGACGGCGCACGGCCTCTCCCGACGTTCGACGACGACTCGAGGTGCCGCTCTGATGCGAGGCACCTTTGGAGCGGTCGCGAGGCGACCGCGTGCCCTTCATACCGAACGGCCCCAGTTGCGAGGCCCCGTCCCGTTCAGCGGCGGTTTTGTTCCGAGGGCAGGGGCTGCTGACAATGCAGCAGGGGACGACGGAGACAATCAGCGGGTGTTCCTGGACATCAGCCACGCGGACGATGACTCCCTCCCGAGTGGCCCCGAGGACGTCCGCCGTGATGGCGAGGGCGCGGGCAAGGCGCTGGCTAACCGCCGGGGGTTGAAGAGGGCCCGAGATATGACGACACGGACATCGGCACCTGGCTGGACCCCGATGTCTATTCGATATGGCGATCAGCGGGAGGGTCGAGGTGCTGAATGACTGTCGCCGCGTCAGGATCAAGTCCGAGGAGGCCACGTTCTGTGGCTTCGCCATGCGCGCCCTGAGCGCCAGCTCGCACATTTCGATGATAATTCGAACGGGACCGTGGCTATTTGATGTAGCTTACATAAACAGGACCGTTTCCCTGAAGTCACCCCCGACGGATAGGTGGAATAATGGTCATACGGATGATGAGCAACATGGAGCGCAGGCGGATGATACTTGGGAGGAGCAGGAATGGGGAGACGAGGAGGGAGTGCAGGATGAGGAGTCGGAATCATAAGTCCTTGAGGAGCAGGAGGCAGAAGAGGACGGGGTGGGGGGGTACGGTCACGGGAAACGTCGCGGGGTATGGGCTCGGGGTGGGGATGCATCGACCCCCAATCGCCCGCTGATCGCCGATAGCGACCCGATAGCCCCATCCTTCCCATCGGGAGCGAAGCAGGGCGTCCGAAAGGGGTACGGACAGGAAAGGGTACGATGCCCAGCAACAGATGCTGTCCAAGACCGACGGCGGCGGCTGTTCGGCAGGCGGCCTGTGGTCACGAGTGGGCAACGGTCGCGGCGGCGCCGACAGCCAACCCTGCTCAGAATGCACAGGAACTGCTGTTGGACCTTGCACCCATGCGTGCCGTCCCCAGTTCGATCGCCTGGTTGGAGCGACGTGGAGCGCCCCTCCCCCCCCCTCCGTTGGGCGTCGCGTCAGGGGGGGGCGATACGCCGGGGGCAGCATGGGCGGCAGAAAAGCGGCCGTTGGGGGCTCCTCAGAGGGACACTTCAGGACCCAAGAGGGGGCCTTCGAGGCCCGAGAAGTGCACCTTTCTCCCCCCCAGTGATCGCCCCCCTGTACACCTTAGGCGATGCTTAAGAAAACTTAAGTTTTCGGCCAGAGTCTCGATTATTCTTAACGTTTCAATGTAAATTTTAAGATTGTAATAGAAAAGTTGGGTTTTTATTCAATTCTGAGACTATGAATTTCTTAACCCATGATTTCTAAAGCATTTCGCAGGGTGTAAGCGACGCTCAATGAGAGGCTGGAGCGGGAGCGAAGCCGGGCGTCCCTGGTCCCCCCCGGGGCGGCCCCCTCGAGGTGACCGCCATCCGCAGCACGGTGTCCGAGCGGCCGCCGACCATGGGCCACATGGTGACGACGTCGAGCGAGGCCGGGCGCTTTGGTGGCCGGCCGGGCCCGGGGAGGGGCCGCAGGGGCTGCGGAAACAATTGGCAGGTGGCCCCACGCTGCCATGGAAAGGTGTTCAGACTTTAGTCGCCGATTTGTGGGTTGCCGTAGCCATTTTGGCTCAAGATTTGGCTCAAGCAAGGAGGAGGAGGATTTTGTAAGCATTCTCCCCATACCATATCCCCATACCGAATCTCCTGTCCTCCCTACGATTTCTGCCACATCGATGTCTTCTTCGGGCGACTCTCGTATGCCAGGTACCCTGGTCGGGTTCTTACTCAAGGATCCTCCCTCGACGCCCACGGGGAGAGCGAAGCAGCACAGGATCCGCAGCCCGCTTCACGAGATGGATGGCGACGACACTCTTGACAGCAATCGGCTGGAACAACTGGGACGACAAACAATCGACCTCCATCAGAGGCAACGGCGCTCCTTTCGGGGGAGCGTAAGACCCGGGTTTGCCAGGACTCGGGTTCGCCATCGTTTTTTGACGACCGCGCCTCGGATTTTGACGAGGAGGAGTTTCCTGGGATGTCTGCAGCGGGAGGCCTCGTCAAAATGCAGGCTCGGCCTCGTCATTTTTTTGACGACCTCGTCGGGGATTTCCGAGTCCCCTGTACCCGGGTCTTACGTCTCCCCGATCCATCAGAGGCAACGGCGCACCTTCTGGATCAGCATCCCAACTCCTTGGTACAGGCGATGGCGAACCGGAAGCTCCACGCCGCAATACACGCCCAAACTCCCCCGAGCCGAGGGCCCGTCGTGTGCCCCGGCTGCGCGCGTGCTCCCCGTCTCCCAGTCCGTGGCCTTCCCCTGCGTGGCGGCGCGCGCCAGACCCGCGAGACCCCGCGGCATTGCGGCGCGCCTGCGTGATCCATCCCGCATTGTTGGGGGAGGACAGAACCCCCAACAGTGACACGTCGATTAGTGAATTGTCCGTTTTCGGTTTTCGAGAGGGCGCCGTGGCCGTTATTTTCCAGGCTTGCGCCCGCCAGGTTTGGGCCCAAGGGCGTTTTCACTAAACCACGTTTTACTAAAGGGGGGTCTGTCCATCCCCGACATTGGAAAATGCCGGAGGGAGGCCCAGCAGCTGGTAGGGCAGGTCGGCCTTGCGCAGATCTTGCACGGACTTATACCTGGTTGGTGAAGTGTAGTCCCCGGGAGAAAGTCGGAATGCTCCCGGAGCCGACAGCAGAGCGTGCTGCACAAGGCTTTGAGGCAGAGATCGGTTATGTAGTCGTTAATCGGGCACGGACCAGATGCCCCCGAGAGAGGCGAAGTCACGTCGGGCGGCGTCGCATCAGCGAGCAGCCTCGTGGTGTGCAATGTCCTTGCGAGCTATGTGAAGGCCCAAATCTCTAGCCTCATCCTTAGGTACCTCCAGCAGGCTAAACCGTTGAGGATCCCTTCGGAGCTTCCGAACATAGCGTGCCCCAGCCACCGAGAAGAATAATAGGAACTCCTGCTTACTCATGTTCTGGGCCAGGCCGGAGTCGGAAAGAGAAGCAGTAAGTAGGGCGTCCACCTCGAATCTTTAATGTATGAGCACAATGCGTGTCATACCCTCAGTGGCAATGATAAGCTTGTCTAGGTTATCTGCGCATCTCTTTGAAGCGGCAAGTCGGCCTGGAGGTCGCCCCAGTGGCCCTTCATTGCCTTGGACATCGGGTCCGCATTCGTCAGGTTTCTGAGCAGGAGGCAGAACGCCACCCTGTCTATAGTGGGGACGGGCAGGGGGATCTGCTCCTGCGTGGCGATGAGGGGACAATGTGAGGATGAGATGAAGGAGGCGGAGTGGGATGGAAGGGGGAGAGAAGCGGGAAGAGGAGGAGGAGGAGGAGGAGGCGGAGGAGGAGGAGGAGGAGGAGGAGGAGGAGGAGGAGTGGGATGGGCGGGGAAGAGAGGCGGGAGGAGGGAGGTCAGGATGGGCAGGGCGCGACGGGACGCGAGGCCTACTCCCTCCTGGCGTGCTCCCTCCTTCCTCCCTCCCTCCTCCCTCCATTGTCCCTCCTCTCTCCGTTCTTTTCCGTTCTCCCTCTCGTACCTCTCCTCTCCTCATCCTGCTCTCTTCGTCCTCCTCCCCCCCCACCGTCTTCCCTCCCATTTTTTCTTTCTCTGTCCTTCCCTCCTCCTTCCTCGTTGTCCTCCTCCTCCTCATTCCTCCTTTCTCCTCCGTCTTCCTTGGAACTAAGTCTTCCTTGTCGCGCAACCAGGCGAGTCGGTGCGGCGGGACCGGCGTTTTGCTTGAGATGCCCCACCGTTTATGATCTTGGCGCTGGGCATCTCCGACAGCTGCACGGATGGATCGCGGGTCTTGTTTTGTCAGAATGCAGTCGGGGCGTTGACCTAAGGAACGATAAATAAGGAACGGGGCCCCTTTTTCCCACAATTTAACTCCGATTTCCAATCGAAAGCCAAAGGAAAACCCAAGGCAAACTGTGAAGCAATCAAGGAACACGGAGCCCCTCCCCAACGAAAAGGGTTCCTTCTTCAGGGCCCCGACTGTATGGTTACCGTTAGTCGCGCCCGCGAGTTACAGGGACGGGATGCTTGTAGTTTACAGCCCGCGGCTCTCGCATTAGCGCTGCAGACGTAGATTTGGAGGGCTGCCATCGGCCACTCGGACGTCGCGCGCTCCTTTTCAGGATGGGGTTCCCGGTCGAGAGATTTCCAGTGATGGTGCCAGGCTTGTGCATCGTGCGCAACCTTTGCTCGGTGGAGGAGGAGGCGGAGAAGGAGGAGAAGGAGGAGGAGGAGGGGGAGAAGGAGGAGGAGGGTGAAGAGGATGATGATGATGATGATGATGATGATGATGATGATGATGATGACGGTGGTGGTGGTGGTGGTGGTGGTTGTGGTGGTGATGGTGATGATGATGATGCTGATGTTGATCATGATCATGATCATGATCATGATAATGAGGATGAGGATGAGGATGAGGATGAGGATGATCAGGATGAGGATGAGGATGACTGAGGATGATGATGAGGATGATGATGAGGATGAGGATAAGGATGATGATGATGATGCTGATGATGATGATGCTGATGATGATGATGCTGCTGCTGATGATGATGATGGTGATGCTGATGCTGATGATGATGATGATGCTGATGATGATGATGATGCTGACGGTGGTGGTGGTGGTTGTGGTGGTGATGATGATGATGCTGATGCTGATCATGATCATGATCATGATCATGATGATGAGGATGAGGATGAGGATGAGGAGGATGAGGATGAGGATGACGAAGGATGATCATGAGGATGATGATGAGGATGATGATGAGGATGATGATGATGATGCTGATGATGATGCTGATGATGATGATGATGTTGATTATGCTTATGATGATGATGATGATGATGATGATGATGATGCTGATGATGATGATGATGATGATGATGATGATGATGATGGTGGTGGTGGTGATGGTGGTGGTGGTCGTGGTGGTAGTGGTGGTGATGATGCTGATGATGATGAGGAGGAGGTGGAGGAGGAGGAGCAGGAAGAAGAGCAGGAGCAGGAAGATGAGGAGGAGGGGGAGGAGGAGGAGGAGGAGGAGGAGGAGCATGAGGAGGAAGAGGAGGAGGAGCAGGAGGAGGAACAGGAGGAGGAGCAGGAAGAGCAGGAGGAGGGAGGAGGCGGAGCAGGAGGGGGTGGAAGAGCAGGGGGAGGAGGCGGATGATGATGATGATGATGATGATGATGATGATGATGATGATGATGATGATGATGATGATGATGATGATGATGATGATGATGATGCTGATGATGATGATGATGATGATGATGATGATGATGATGATGATGATGATGATGATGATGATGATGATGATGATGATATGATGATACTGATGATGATGATGATGATGATGATGATGATGAGATGATTGATGATGATGATGCCTGATGATGATGATGATGATGATGATGATGATGATGATGATGATGCTGATGATGCTGATGCTGAGTCTGCTGCTGATGATGGTGATGATGATGATGATGATGATGATGATGATGATGATGATGATGAGGAGGAGGAGAGGAGGAGAGGAGGAGGAGGAGGAGGATGAGGAGGAGGAGGAGGAGGAGAATGAAGAGGTGGAGGAGGAGGAGGAGGAGGAGGAGGAGGAGGAGGAGGAGCAGGAAGAGGAGGGGGAGAAGGAGAGGAGGAGGAGGAGGAGGAGGAGGAGGGGCAGGAGGAGCAGGAGGAGGAGGAAGAGCAGGAGGAGGAGGAGGAGGAGGAGGAGGAGGAGGGAGGAGGAGAATGGGAGGAGGCGGAGGAGGAGGCGGCGGAGGTGGAGGCGGAGACGGCGGAGGCGGAGGCGGACGCGGAGGCGGAGGCGGAAGCGGAGGCGGATGAGGAGGATAAGGAGGAGGCGTAGGCGGAGGAGGAGGGAGGAGGAGGAAGAGAGGAGGCGGAGGAGGGAGGAGGAGAAGGAGGAGGAGGATGAGGAGGAGGAAGATGAGGAGGAGAAGGAGGATGAGGAGGAGGAGGAGGCGGAGGAGGGGAGGAAGATGAGGAGGAGGAGAAGGAGGTGGAGGAGGAGGAGCAGGAGGAGGGAGGAGGGGGTGGAGCCCGTGCCGGGCTCCCCCCCTCCTTCCTTCTGCCTGCCCCCGCGCCTCCCCCGCTCCCCCCTGCAGAAATCTGTGCGGCCACCTCCCGGACTTGGGCCGGCTCCCGGACTGGGGCCACCCGCAATGGCGCGTCCGCCCGCGGCGCCCGCGCGCGAGCGGCGGTGGTAGGATGGACGGTGGTAGGATGATGCTGGTGATGGTGTTGATGATGGGGTTCGTAATGATGATGGTGATGGGGGTGATTGGGGTGAGTTGCGATTATGATTATGATGATGATGACGATGATATTAATGTTGCTGTTGATGGTGATGATGACTCTGAGTATGAGGCTGATGCTGCTGATGATACTGATGATGACGATGACGATGATGATGATGATGATGATGCAGATGCTGATGCTGATGATGATGACGATGATGAGGAGGAGAATGAGGATGAGGATGACGATGCTGATGCTGATGTGGATGGTGATGATGCTGATGCTGAGTCTGCTGCTGATGATGACGATGCTGATGATGTTGATGATGCTGCTGCTGATGATGATGTTGATGGTGATTATGCTGATGATATTGATGATGCTGACGGTGTTGGCGAGTATGATATTATTATTGTTGTTGCTGTGGTTGCTGCTGTTGTTGTTGTTGCTGCAGTTGCTGTTGCAGTCGTGCAGTCGCTGTTGTTGCTGATGATGGTAGGCGACGACGATGGTGCTACTGCTGCTGCTGCTGACGATGGTGATGATGATGATGATGATGGTGATGATGATGATGATGATGATGAAGATGATGATGATGATGATGATGATGATGATGATGATGATGATGATGATGATGATGATGATGGTCATGCTGCTGATGGTGATGATGCTGATGATGCTGCTGATGATGGCGATGCTGTTCATGTTGATGATGATGGTGATGATGATGCTGATTATGAGGCTGATGGTGTTGATGATGACGATGATGATGCCGATGAGGATAATGCTACAGCTGATGGCGATGATGCTGATTCTGATGATGCTGATGATGATGCTGCTTCTGATGCTGAATACGATAATGGTTGTGATGGTGATGATGATGCTGATTATGATGCTGCTGACGATGATGACGATGATGCTGCTGATGCTGATGACGATGATCGATAATGATGATGCTGCTGATGGTGATGATGCTGATGACGTAGATGCTACTGCTGATGATGCTCATGTTGCTGATGGTGAGGATGATGATGAGGATGATGATGAGGATGATGATGAGGATGCTGACTATGATTATTATGATGCTGATGACGGTGATGTGGATGAGGACGATGATGAGGTTGATGTTGTTGCTGATGATGCTCATGTTGATGATGATGCTGATGATGCTGATGATGACGATGGTGGTGGTGATGATGCTGCTGACTACAACGACGATGCTGCTGCTGATGATGATGCGGATGATGATGCTGATGCTGATGCTGATGCTGATGCTGCTGATGATGATGCAGATGATGTTGATGATGATGATGCTGATGCTCAGGATGAGGCTGATCATGATGACGATGATGACGATGATGAGGGGGGCTGTTGTGATGGTGGTTTTGGTGATGGTGACGATGATGGTGATGGAGGAGGAGGAGGAGGAGGAGGAGGAGGAGGAGGAGGAGGAGGGAGAAGGTGCAGGAGGAGGTGCACGAGGAGCATGCGGAGCAGGCGGAACCGGCGGAGAAGCAGCAGGAGGCCTGCAGGCGGGAGGCAGCTGGAGGCGGGGAGGCGGCCCAGGGCGGCGGCGGCGCCCGACGGCGCGAGCCCCCCGCGGCGGCGCGGAGGGCCTCCGCGGGGCGGCGGCCGCGGCCTCGCGCGGCGATGCCCCGCCGGCGGCGCGCCGGCCGCCGCGGCGGCGGGCCGCGCGCCGCGGCGGCGTGCGCGGCCGCGGCGGCGGCCGCATCGCCGCCGGCGTGCGAGGCCCGCCGCGGCTGCACGGATCGGGCCGGACGAAAGGGGGGGGATTCGGAAAGGGGGGGGTACGAAATTTGCTGCATGCAGCTGGTTTCGGCCCCACCGAGGGGCCTATGCGTCGATACCTCGTCGCCTCCGGCGCCGGGAGGCGCCGGAAAAATCAGCTACGTGAGCTGATTCTCAACCCTCCCCTTTACTATCCCCCCCTTTCGCCCGACCCGAACGGAGGGCTCGCTGCATGTCGTTCCTTGGCCGGGTGGCACCATCGGGCCACATATTCGACTAGACGTGAGAGTGACCTTTCGCCAGAGTGACCTCTGGTGCGGGCACCGATGGGCCCCCAGATGGCTGAGAACGAAGCAGGAGCAACGGCTTGCGTGCCCAGGTTTGGTCCCCACGCGGCCTCCAAAAAGCCGCGCACCAAAGGTCACTCTTACCCATGGTCACTCCTGCGTGTAGCCGACATATCGGGGCCATTCATCGGGACGGTCGGAATGGGTAGGGAAAGAGTGGGTACGAGGTCCGGCAGCAGTTCCTATGCATATTGAGCAGGAGTCGCTGCCGGTGTCGCCGCGGCCCTTGTCCATTTGAGACAGGAGGCCGCCTGCCCAACAGCGGCCGCTGTTGGTTTGAGACAGCATCTGTTGCTCGATATTGAACCTTTTTTTTCGTGCCCATTTCGGGCGTCCAAAATGAATGGGCGATTGTGGATGGATGCCGATCCCCCTGAGCCCATCCCCCGAACGCTGCCCCGTGAGGGCGATTATATCAAGGTGTCGGAACTCCGCGTTGGTATCATGCGGCTCCAACTCATCCGCAGACATACAATTCAAATGCAAGAACGTCAGCATCAAGAGATAATGCTAGAGCGCAAGCGTCGGACAAAAGCGTCAGTGAGAGGAGAGCTGGTCGCAGGGACCATCGACCAGCGCGGATGTACGGTATCCGGTGTGCTGGGTCACCTGCCCCAGGTGCGTGATCGCTTGAGCAGGGCAGGGGGGGCTTGAATGGCTACGGAGGAGGAGGAGGAGGAGGAGGAGGAGGAGAAGGAGGCTCCTGCAGGGCCAGGGGTGCACTGACCCGGGCTTGGGTGCAGGATCCTGCAGGAACCCGCAGGATCCTGCAGGCTCCCGACCCCGCCCCGGAGGCCTGGAGGGACCTGGGTCGGCAGACCCTCGAGGGATAGGGTCCCGAGGAGCCCCGTCGGTCCCGAGGTCTCCTTCCCGCCGGGGGCCTGCGAGCACCGTCGCGGGGGCGACCCCGGGGAGAAGCTAGCCCCCGGAAGCGCCCCCGGGTCCCGGTACCCGCCTCTTCGCCCGGAAATCCGTTTCTGTTTGCGTCGGGCATGTCCGTCTACAGGAGGAGTGCTGCAGGAGGAGCGCTCAAAACTAGACACAAATGGTCGGTGGAACATTTGTTTTGTTGATCTTCCATTCAAAGTACTTGCTTTGGCTATTGTCATTTTACAGCCAAGATCCGCCTTGAGGAGGACATGCCTGACCCAAGTTTATGCGTGTCGAGCAGTGGCGAAACGTCCTGGCTTGCCCCCAGGCCCAACAAAGAATGTTGTAAGACCTTTAGTGGTCTGCGCGAAGTGTTTTTATAATATGTATGGTCGAGACTGTCATGTTTAGATACATCGGTCTTAGGTTTGAAGAACATTGCGTTCGTTCTTAGAACACTGCTTCGCTGTAAGAAAAATCGTGGTAGGCCTACAGGAATGCCGATAAGGTCGGTCTCTGCCCAAGTGAATGTGTGTGTGTGTGTGTGTGTCCGTGTGTCCGTGTGTCCGTGTGTCCGTGTGTCCGTGTGTCCGTGTGTCCGTGTCCGTGTCCGTGCGTGTGTGGGGTGCGTGTACAAAAGTCGCGTCCCCAGGGGATAGCGTTTTCTTACCCAGCCCCCTTTCCTCCTCGGACATCCAATGTCTCGGGTTTCTCTCAGTACGGGGTCGCCAGAGGTCCAGACTTTGTCCCCAGGGCGAGTTCTCCATCTCGGAAATTTGGTTGTTGTTCCGCGAGGCCCCCCCGAGGCCGATCTTGTGAAAAATTCCCGCAGCGAGTTTCTCGAGACAGTAGAGGTCTGGGTCGGGACCCTCGTCTCTCGTGCCAAGAGGCGCTGGCGACCAGCGACTCGCTGGGGGCGAAGGTGTGGCTGGACCCAGGCGGCGCGCAAGACGGTGCGGGGCTTCAGGGGGGAGGAGCTTGCCGATGCCCCAGGCCCCCCTCCCCCCCTTCTCAGGCACAGGGGCAGATTGCGGGACTGATTCGCGGAGGAAAAACATGCATGAAGACATAATGTTCCGGAGCTCCGCACAGATTTCTTGAATCTGCATCGGGCCCCCCCCCAGCTGCGCCTACGACGCCGCCCCTGGCGCGCTCCGCGCTCCAGAGGTGAGCTGGGCTCCAGCGCCGACCCAAGAAATCCGCTTGGAGCTCCGAAACCTGGTGCGTTATGCAGTTGCTTCTCTCCCTCTGCTGATTGCAGTCGATTCCGGCATAGTGCTCCTTGTGCGTTTTCCTGCCTCGTCAGATTCGTTGCGATTGCCCCCGAGGTTTGCGCCTCATCGGCAGCGGCGGGTATAGGCCCGGCACCACCATGCCTTGCAGCCCTCGAGCGGAGAGTGAAAGCGCTTCACAGGCTGAAACACTGCACAGATCCTTCTCGATGAAGACGATGTACACGTACACGTTCCGACGGTTCGCGCGGATTTCCTGGATCTGCGTTGCCCCCCCCCTACCCCCCCGACAGCCCCCCCGGCGCCGCCGTTGGCGCGCTCCGCGCGCTGGGGTAATCGCGCCGCATCGCCGACGCCTCGACGATGCGGCGCGATGCGAAGCTCGATGTCCTCCACGCCGACGGCGCCGATGCATCGCCGACGTCGCCGGTGCATCGCCAATGCATCGGCGATGCATCGCCGATGCATCGGCGATGAAGCGCGATCCTGCGAAGAGGAAAACACGCCATCAGCATAAACTGTTAGCGCTCCGCGCGGATTTCTTGGATCCGCGCTGGGACCCCCCGGCGGCGCCTCTGGCGCCGCCCCTGGCGCGCTCCGCGCGCCAGGGAGGAGGGTCAGCGCAGATCTAAGAAGTCCGCGCGGAGCGCCAACAGTATGTTTATGGCGTATGTAATGTATATTACGTTTTTCTTCGTCTAATCCTCCGACCCCAACTACTCGGACCCCCTC